GTGAAAGTATCGGTCACACTTCTCTAATGTCAGACAGGAGTGAAAGTATGTCACACCTCTCTAATGTCACACTTCTCTCAGGGAGGAGTGAAAGTATCAGTCACACTTCTCTAATGTCAGACAGTAGTGAAAGTATCGGTCACACTTCTCTAATGTCAGGGAGGAGTGAATGTATCGGTCACACTTCTCTAATGTCAGACAGGAGTGGAAGTATCGGTCACACTTATCTAGTGTCAGAGAGGAGTGATGTGTCAGTGACACTTCTCTAATGTCAGACAGTAGTGAAAGTATCGGTCACACTTCTCTAATGCCGGACAGGAGTGAAAGTATCGGTCACACTTCTCTAATGTCAGACAGGAGTGAAAGTATCGGTCACACTTCTCTAATGCCAGACAGGAGTGAAAGTATCGCTCACACATCTCTTGTGTCAGACAGGAGTGAAAGTATCAGTCACACTTACCTAATTTTAGGGAGGAGTGATGTTTCAGTCACACTTCTCTTGTGTCAGTGAGGAGTAAAAGTATCGGTCACACTTCTCTAATGTCAGAAGTATCGGTTTCACAGAAGTGAAAGTATCGGTCACGCTTCTATAATGGCAGACAGGAGTGAAAGTATCGGTCACACTTCTCTAATGTCAGGGAGGAGTGAAAGTATCAGTCACACCTCTCTAATGTCAGACAGTAGTGAAAGTATCGGTCACACTTCTCTAATGCCGGACAGGAGTGAAAGTATCGGCCATACTTCCCTTGTGACAGGGAGGAGTGAAAGTATCGGTCACACTTCTCTAATGTCAGGGAGGAGTGAAAGTATCAGTCACACCTCTCTAATGTCAGACAGTAGTGAAAGTATCGGTCACACTTCTCTAATGCCAGACAGGAGTGAAAGTATCGGCCATACTTCCCTTGTGACAGGGAGGAGTGAAAGTATCGGTCACACTTCTCTAATGTCAGGGAGGAATGAAAGTATCGGTCACACATCTCTTGTTTCAGAGAGGAGTAAAAGTATCGGTCACAGTACTCTAATATCAGAGAGGAGTGATGTGTCTGTCACACTTCTCTAATGCCAGACAAGTGTGAATGTATCGCTCACACTTCTATAATGTCAGACAGGAGTGAAAGTATCGGTCATACTTCCCTTGTGACAGGGAGGAGTGAAAGTATCAGTCACACCTCTCTAATGTCAGACAATAGTGAAAGTATCGGTCACACTTATCTAATGTCAGTCAGTAGTGAAATTATCGGACACACTTCTCTAATGCCAGACAGGAGTGAAAGTATCGGTCACACTTCTCTAATGTCAGGGAGGAGTGATGTGTCAATCACATTTCTCTTGTGTTAGGGAGGAGTGAAATGTACACACACGTACAGGTTAGCTGTGTTTGAGTAGTACATGTGAAATGTACACACAGGTACAGGTTAGTTGTGTGTGAGTAGTACATGTGAAATGTACACACAGGTACATGTTAGTTGTGCGAGTAGGTAGTACATGTGAAATGTACACACAGGTACAGGTTAGTTGTGTGAGTAGTACATTTGAAATGTACTTATTGATAATTCAGGTGTTTTAAATTCTGAGTACTCCTTTTAAATATATGAATCTTTATTTTACAGAAATCAAATCTGACTTGAAACCTTTAAGACCCTTGATAGGTGAGTGGCATCAACTTGACTGGGCACGGTGTGAGAAAAGTTACAGCAGATTCCTCAAAACCAGACTCACAACAACAAGCACCATCAATGGAATTAATTGGACACCAAACTATTAAGTTATATTTCTGTTCACAAACGCAAATATCTCAGTACACTCAGATTTATCCCTATTATAACACACATCAAATTCTTCTCTCCGTTCCTATAGGTCCTCACAATACACACATTAAACGGGTCGTATTCTGGTGAAAGACATAATTCAATATATAATACATTCCAATATAATATCTTGGACTTTGGTAATACAGGAATAAAAATGTTGTACAGGAATAAAAATGTTGTATAGAATGTATGTTCATTCAAACTGCCCTTTAAAAGTTACATCTTAACGTATTTAAAGTGCTGTATACTAATAAAGGTTTTTAGTTTATTTTTAATATATATCCTTTCTTTATTTTCTTACAGTTCAAACTATAAACAGGATTAAAACAGAAAAAGAGGAGAAAAAGTTCATGGAGACCAAAGCTTTTCATGACGCACAAGAGAAACTCGGAAAGAACAGAGTCATAATGATCAAGGGTAACACAGGAGACGGCAAGACTTCGACTGCCTTTCAACTCATGGACTGGCTGATCAAGGAGCAGCAATGCAGGCAACCTCTTCAGCTTCATGAAATCAAGAAATTAGATAAATTGTCTCCAGACTCGAGTCTGGTTACTTTTATTGATGATATTTTTGGAGAGAGAAATGTTAGAAATACGGATGTAGCTGAGTGGAACAAAAGAATTAATAATGTAAAAACACTGTTTGTAGATCAACAAATGAAGGCCAATTTTTTGCTTGTTACTATTCGTAATGAAATATATAATGATTTGAAAGAGCGATCTTTGGAACCAGTTTTTACCAAAGATAACCTTATTGACATGAGTTCGGACACATACAGGATTTTAGAGGAAAGAAAAGAACTTCTACAAAAATATCTGCCAAACAATTATAAATGGGAAGAGAAAGAAATAGAAAGTATTGTAAAATCTGCTTCAAGCATTGGCTTTCCCCAATGCTGCCACCTTTTCTATAACTCCGTGGAATTGCAGGCAAAACGTGGGGAATTTTTTGAGAAACCTTTTAAATTTTTGAATGAAGCATTGTCTAGATTATCAGAATGTTGTGCCATTTTGTTTCTTTTCCTCAATGGAGGGGAGATAAAAGTTAAAGATCTAGACCCAAACAGTGATAAAATCAACAAAACATTGTTAGAGGAATCATTTAATATTAATCTGATTGATGGTGAGGAGGACAGATCCTCATTGAAGTACGAGAGAAAAGTAGGATTTGTAAAAGAAAGTTTAGACAGATTGCTAGGATTTTTAGTGGTGAAGGAGAAAAATTGGTTTGGTGATGAAGTATACAGATTTAATCATGATTCTGTACGTGTCACAGTAGCTCGTTTGTATTGGAACAAAACACCAGTTGGTTATATACAGAATTGTCCAGTGAAATTCCTCGGTTATCTCACAACCTCAAAAACATCCACAGACATGATTGTTTTATCATCAGATAATTATACACGTCTGTGTGAACGTCTGCTCCGAGAGTTTGAGTGTGAGGAGTATGATTATGATAGTAGATATATTATTAAGTCTCTAGATGTATGGAAAGATCCCGTATTTGTTGAAAGATTCGATGAGTTGTTGAATGAGAAAAAAGTTGATAAACGTGCTGTGTTAAATACGGTATGTAAATATGGTGTAAAAGAATGTGGTTTATATCTTCTGAGTGTGGGAGTCAAACCTGACAAGTACACAGACTTGTGGTCATTGATTATGTAGCCGGGTTCCAATGCTACAGTGTTTTATAAAATAACGCTGGATTCATTCCTTTCATACGTTTATTTAGACGCACCAAAAGACCCTACAATAACACAAATAAAACATAAGTTCACGTATAAGACATATTACAAACTACGCACTGTACCAACAGTACCGGTTACACTGGACATGGAGTCAACTTTACTTTTTACACATATTTATATTTCCCGTAACGGTTACACTAAACTTTACGAATTCATCAAAATATATATATCCAATGCCAACACATGATAAACTATAGGATTTACCATTTGTATTACACAGATGTAGTTAATAGTTAAATAATATATATACATAATATACCTACCCTATCAATCTGACAGGGGTCTCAAGAGATAACATCCTTTTTTACAATAAAATGATCTATGGTTCTGTTGAAAGAAAAACAACAAAACGTAATTAACTATATCTGTAATAAATTTCTTTAAGATAATTCTGCAAAAATTACTATTCCCATTACAAAAGGAATAATGAAAAAACCATATAACATATAATTGCGACTGTCCATGTCTCTGTCCAGCGCGTGAATAACGATACAGAACATACAGGTGCACGAACAAGCATGTAATCACGTGACAAGACATTTACATAACAAAACACAGGTGAGAAATTCTTAGAACATACACTGACAAAACAAACCGGTTGGACAAGTACATTTATAAAAATATATATAAATAGATAAAAGTAAAATTGACACTGCCACATACTCCCCCTGGAAATAAGATGACGTCCTCGTCAGTTTTTCTTGGTGACAAGAGACACTACTGCTTCTGTCATCTGTGGAGAGAGATTTAAAAATTCTTTTGAATTAGCTAGTGTCAACAAGTATCTGACTCTACGCAGCCAATCAGGCTCCTGGCCTGACATGACAAACTCACCTGAGGTGAACCACTTGGGTGGAGCTCTAACACGCTCCGACCTCCTGAGCTCAGTCTCTGGCTCCCGAGGTTGCTCACCCTCAACGTCTTGGGGTGGATCGTCATCAACAACCTCATCATCCCAGTCAGCTGTATGTGGACCGTCATCCTGCTGAACTGGAATATCTGTAACTGTAACAGATTCTTCTTCCGGTGTGGAAACATGGACTACCACTGATGAAGTATCACTTTGATCTTCGGGCTCCACCTCCACATCCTCACTCACTGTTTGTTTTGGTTTAGGCTTCCTATGCCTTGGCGCAGGTTTAGGCCTTGTAGGTGCTTTATCATCCATGCTCCTGGAATCTGGCGTCAAATATCCAACTGGAAGAAGATGGTTTCTGTGCATGGTTCTTTTTCTTCCAGTACCATCCTCCCGTTGAATGATATATACTGGAATATCATTGTTTGGCTGACTTTCCACTATATAAATTTCACTCTCCCATGGGTCAGCAATCTTGTGCCGGCCTTTGAATGCAAGTACTTTGACAAGTACTCTGTCTCCTGGCTCCAAGGTGGCACCACGTACTCGTACATCATACCCCACTTTCTGTTTCCTTTGTGCTTGATCAGCATTCAATGAAGCCAAATGATATGCTTGCTTCAAACGTTCACGTAACTCCTCAACATATGCAGAATATGAGGGTTGATCAGAGTCTTCATCCTGCTCCCTAACGCCAAAAGCAACATCAACTGGTAGTCTGGGGTGTCGACCGAACATCAGGTAGTACGGTGAATACCCTGTTGTCTCGTGCCTAGTGCAGTTGTATGCATTAGTGAAGGGTCCAATAAATGACTTCCAATCTTTCTTTTGGTCTGGATTCAATGTGCGAAGCATGTCAAGCAAAGTTCTGTTAAACCTCTCACACAAACCATTTCCTTGCGGATGATAAGGACTTGTCCTCGACTTCTCTATTCCTAATAGCAGACATAACTCCTTTATGAGATCTCCTTCAAAGTTAGCTCCCTGGTCGAGGTGGATTCGCTTGGGCATCCCATAATGGATGAAGAAGTTATGGTAAAGAGCATCTGCAGTAGTATGAGCCGACATATTCCGAGTAGGTATGGCTTGTGCATATTTAGTGAAGTGATCGGTTATCACTAAAAGATATTGATAATTTCCTTTGGCTGGTTCTAGTGTAAGAAAGTCAATACACACAAGTTCCATTGGCTGTGATGTTTGTATGCTGACAAGTGGGGCTCGGGTTCTTGCTGGTGTCTTGGCTCTGGTACAGCGATCGCACAGCTTCACCCATTCCTCTATGTCCTTGCACATTCCAGGCCAATAGAATCGATCCTGTATGCTTGACGTCGTCCTATCACGCCCAGGGTGTCCTATGTCATTGTGTAAGGCCTGAAGCACCCTCCGTCTCAATGACAAGGGCAATACTAACTGAAGTGTATCATCTCGAGTCTTCTTGTATAGGACCCCTCTGGAGAGAGTTAAGTTGTAAAATTTCTTTGCATAGACCTTGAACTCATTACAATTATCCATAAATCTTCTTGGCCTCTGATGATTCCTGACATAGGGCAATATGTCACCAATTGCTCCGTCCTCACTCTGTAGTTTCCTCATCTGTGTGGGTGTGTATTCTCCGAAGTCTTGTCCAATGTCGGTATCATCTAAGACCTCAGCTGACATGCACATGGTTTCCATAAATGGAGATCCCTCAGTGATGGCATTGCACACAGCTTTGATGCATTCCCTGGTAATGTGTTGGATGTCTGTCCTACAATCATCCTCAAGTCCTGGGTATCTTGATAAAGTATCTGCATCCAGGTTGTTCTTTCCAGGCTTGTAGCGTATGTCAAAGTTGTATGTAGCTAAGGCCGACAACCAGCGATGGCCTGCAGCATCCAGTTTTGCCTTTGAAAGTACATAGGTTAAAGGGTTGTTATCCGTGTAAACTGTGAAGTGGTTTCCATACAAATAATCATGAAACTTGTCGGTAATGGCCCACTTCATAGCTAAAAATTCTAGCTTATGAGCTGGGTAATTCTTCTCCGTTTTTGTAAGTCCACGACTGGCGTAAGCAACTGGACGGCATGTACCATCATGGTCCTGATACAAAACAGCTCCCAAACCGATTGAACTGGCATCTGTATGAAGCTCAAATGGTTTGGTGTAATCGGCAAATTCAAGAACAGGTGGTGATGAAAGAGCTTCTTTCAAGTTTTGGAATGATATTCTCTCCCGGGTGCCCCATTTCCACTCAACTTCTTCCTGCTTCTTAGACTTTGCTGACTTCTTATGAGTAGGTGGTAGTAAATCAGTGAGCGGTCTGGCAATATGAGCAAAGTTGGGTACAAATTTGCGATAATATCCGGCAAATCCTAAAAATTTTCTTACATCTTCAGGCGTTGATGGTTCTGGCCAATCTCGAATCTTTGCAATCTTGTCTGGATCAGCTTCTATACCAGCCTCCGATACAATATGTCCTACGTACTTCACTCGATTCCTGAAGAAACAGCATTTCTTTGGCGACAACTTCAAATCGCAATCCCTGAGTCTCTGAAATATCTTTTCAAGACGACGTAAATGTTCTTCATAAGTACCTGAAAACACAATAAGATCATCCAAATAGATAAGACAAATGTTCAAATGAAGATCACCAAGACATTCTTCCATTAGACGCTGATAGGTCGCTGGGGCGTTGGACAATCCAAAAGGCATACGGTTAAATTCGAAAAATCCTAACGGTCCAACAGTGAATACTGTTCTTTCTTTGTGTGGTTCATCTACAGTGAAGGAACCTGAATGCTTTGTCATATATGTGTCATTAAATCAAATAGCCTTTGCTCGTTCATTTACCGCAAAAATCGCCGAAAACGATCCACGCGTTCCAAAGTTATTGTCGAAAACGCTAAAAACACACCTGAACGAGATCATCGAACGGCACTGTAACATAGCTCTTCAGTAGTGACGTCACAAGTGGAAGCGCGCGTTCTGTCCCACTCCGGCAGCCATTAGTTTTCCAGCAGAAGCCAGGTTATATCGTTTCGTTTTTTTGGCCTACTTGAATGTTATTCGACTAATTTATACTATAATTGATGGTAAAGTAACAGTAGTGTCATCATCTGTGGAATGTTTTACTTAGGTTTCAAATATTTGTGAGCGTTCGTGGATTTTTCTGTCAATTATTGTGACCATGGGTGACCCGTCGCCGACTGCCGGACGTTCAGGAAAAAGATGTGTTGTTTTCGGTTGCAGCAACACCAGTAAAGATGGAGTTTCCCTTCATTTCTTTCCATTGAAGAATAATGATATTTGTAGAAAGTGGACTTCATTTGTAACAACGAAAAGGAAGAACTGGGCCGGAGCCACCAAACATTCTGTAATTTGTTCGAAACATTTCGACATGTCCTGTTACCCGGCGAAGTATAAGATCATGGAAAGTTTAGGCCAGTCAGTCCGAAGAAAGGACCTGCTTCCAGATGCTGTTCCATCTATACACGCTTCAGAACCAAGCCCGATGTCTAATATTACAGACACGCCACCACCGCCAAAGAGACAAAGAATGGCTTTTACTAAGAGAGAAAATGCTAGGGTATGTACAATTTAGTAATGACGTGCGTATTGGTATTTTCATAATTTTGTTAAACATTCAGACAACTAGAATTCTAGTCAATGTTTCATTGGTCTATATTACACATATGTATAATGGTGCCCCAACTTTCTATACTGGGAAGAGAATCAAATATACAGCATGTACATTTAAAGTGAAGGTATTATACCAGTATCAGCTAGTATATACCAGTCACACCTTTTTGTCTCAAATTTGAATTATGATATGAAATTTTAAAAGTCATTATTATTTTGATTTTGATCATTTGTTTTCCCCTCCAGATACTGTCACAGCATTTCCAAGCAACAGAACTGATGGAGATTGACCATGATGTTGACAACGGTTCGAATAATACCATGGTGTGCGGTATGGAGAGTGATAACTCAACACCACATGTAAGAATTTGAGGATAAACAATCTAAAGTGCAATTAGTTCATGGAAAGGAAACATCTGACAATTTATTTTAGCATATAGAATCTAAATGGTATTAATAGAGTTTGTAACTATGTCCTAGTTTTTAGCATCCATTCCGTAGAAGTTAGAACCAGATTCAGCTTTGTTGGATATATTTTGATATTGATACCAGATCAGAGTTCATAAAGAAGTATTTGAAAAGTGCTTTATTATAACAGTCTTATACCTAGATTAAAAATAAGCTTGTTTTCTTAAAAGTTAAAAAACTAGTATTTTTTCTTGATATTACGGAGTCTGATATAGGCAGATAACAGAGAGGCATGGGGCAGAAGGGATACTTATGTAACAGGGTTTTCATGTGTTTTATTGAAGTTTGTGTATTTTAACGTTTTTTTAGACACCATCAGGATCAACAACAGCTTTAACAAGAACCTATGGTTGCCAAGTAGGTTTGAAGAAGCCAGCAAGAAGGTCAAAGAAAATACAAACAAGTTTTAAAACTCATAACCAAGGTACAGTGATTAATCAAAATTATGCATCAGAAATTGATATTGGGTGTAGTTAAATTTATGCAGATGTATTAACAGTTCATCATATTGTAATGAAGACAGTTCTGTTTGATTTGCAAAAAGGAAGATAAATATACACTCAATCCTCTGAGTTAAAATTGCAATTATAATATCTTGTTCACAAAACAAATGATTTGTGTAGGGTGTTTGATGGAGTCCCCCCTACAATTTTTTGCAATTTTTAATGAATTTGTTTTCCAGTACACTTCCGAGTTTCGTTAGTAATACACCCATCTTGAATCCTGATGTTAGTATTATGACCTTGTTTCCAGTGCTTTTGTAAACTGGTACAACCTTTTTCTTCAGAGTTTTTTTAATTCTGGTATCTGCATTATGGATGGCGGATTGTTAAATAGTTACACTTTACTACTACTCTCTGCTCCAAAGGAACAGGTGCAGCCCAATGTTACGTTGCTGTAAAGGTGTTGAATAGGAGAAAGTTATCATATTCTGAGCTCAGAAAAAAAGTGTTTTCATTCTCTTAGTGTGTTACACCACTTTTATCATTTTTCTTTATTGTAGTATGTCAGACGACATCCAATGAATGCAAGTCTGTGGCCATCCAGTGTGATATTATAAAACCAGAACAAACGTCAAACACCAACATGTGCGAGGACCACAATCTTACTTTTGATCATGATGGCACAGAGGAGGACAATGGAGATATGGATGACCATAGTCCCCAAGAAGACTTGCTTGACAGTTCATTTAATGCGTCATTTCAGAGTGAAGCAGATGAAGATGTTGACTCTGATAGCAACATAGATGATGAAAGGTGATTTTTTGTTATGATCAATTGTAAAGTTAAATGATTGTTATTAAAGGTCACTAGACCTCTGTGTTAAAAAGGTTTGTGGGTCATAATTAGTAACATTTTACCACATAATGGTACTTGTACATCTTCATCTATATCACTTTCTTTATCCCACCACCACTTTTTGGATCTCTTGTGTTATTACTAAGGCTAAATTATTACTCAGTGCAAGTGCCTTTCGTTGGCCTGGCAAATTATGACAAAATACACTGCCCAAACCAATAATTTAAAGTAAAAATTTTTTTTTTCAGGGATGATGGAAGAGACAGAAAATTTTTGGTTTACGAATCAGAACTCCTAAAATTATTTTCAGCATGCCCAAGATGCTCCAGCCCAACATTTGGACATATTCAACAGCTGCGCGGTACAGCAGTGAAAATTCTACAGGACTGTGGTTTTTGTTCCTATACCAATGTTTGGAAGAGCCAACCAATGATCGGGTCAATACCAGCTGGAAACTTACTGCTTTCATGTGCAATTCTGTTTTCTGGGTCGCTTCCAAGCAAATCACTGCGGATGTTCAACTTTATGAACATGGCCACAATATCTTGCGATACATTTTTGCAACATCAGAGGTATTTTCTTCAGCCAGCCATATTGCAAGTTTGGAATGAGCATCAGCAGTGCTATTTGGACAGTGTGATTCAAGAAAATAGGGAAATTGTATTGGGAGGAGATGGACGTGCAGATACCCCAGGCCACTCTGCAAAGTATGGCAGCTACACGATGATGGATTTAGATGAATCCAGAGTAGTCGACGTGCAATTGGTTCAGGTAATTGTTTTTAGTTCACCTGTCAGCTGAAAGCTCTTGTTCTATTGTGATCATGTTTTGTTTTCCCATATGGAAAAAATGGGTCAGAAATGGCCCCTTGGGGGCCTGCAATGGGCAAACAGAGGCCATGTGAACTTGCAAATGTGAAGTAAATCTGTCCATACATGTTACTAGAAAATCTGTGATTTGTTTTGTACTATTATCATATGATTCCATCATGGGAGTGTAACGTAGACAGAAAAATCTCCACCTGATGGTTGAGATTTTTTGTTCACTTTTCAACCCTACAATTGATTTTTTTTCTCCCACACTCATGATGCTGAAAACCTTGTTTCAGTGTTGGTATAATAAATTTTTTTGTGAATGAAATTGTGATGTCATTTGGCAGCTTTTGTGACATCATAGCATGTTTAAACTGTCTTTTCCCTAGTGGCTGTAAGACAGCCTTGTCTTTTCACAGGTGAATCCTTTTGGAAGTGTTGGGAAAAAAATCAAATAAATCCCTTGCCTTTACATTCAATTCATTTATCAATTTCACACATTCTATTTTTAGAGTAACGAAGTCAAAAGTAGCTACCACATGGAAAAAGAAGGGTTGATCAGAAGTGTGAAGACCTTCAATGATGCTGGAATTACTATACAGAAGATTGTTACAGATCGTCATGTACAAATTTTGAAATGGGTCAGGGAAAATATGCCTAAAACAAAACACTGTGTAGATATCTGGCATGTAGCAAAGGGTAAGTTTTCAACAAAAAATGCTTTTCATATGTATTTCATATAACACTCTTGGTTGTTGAAGTACTCGTATTCTAAGTGTAATTTAAGTTTGATATGTAAGTCATTTTTAGATAGTTAAAATTGTTTATGAAGACCCAGGTTTAGAGGAAAACTGTCCTTTATAGACAGTTGTCCTTAGTATAGAGGTCAGCTACATTGCAAACTGCACCGGGTGGGTTTAATCAATCTATCCATCATACAAAGATATGCTCCAAAGCAGGTTTGACTGTAGACAACTGCATAATGGTTTGATAGTTGAATATTTCTCACTAATTTTGACATGTTTTTTTATTACTAGGATTAAAGAAAAAACTGACAGCAATATCCAAGGATAAAGATTGTGATGCCTTAACACCTTGGATAAAGAGTATCAGCAACCACCTTTATTGGGTAGCTGCATCAACTCCGTCTGCAGATCCTTCCCTAATGATGGAAAAGTGGCAGAGTGTAGCAAACCATGTACAAAACATACATGAAGGTCATGGATCTCTGTTTGAGAAGTGTTGTCATGGTGACCTGTCCGGTAGAGAAAGGCAGAAGAAATGGATTAAACCAGGTATTTGACAATACCAGTTATTTCAGAAATTAACTTCAACTTGCATAACAATGGTAGGGAAAATGTGTTGGGTCAAACGAATAATGGACACAAATTCTATGGACATGTTTTGTGAAAATAAACCATGACCATAGAAGAAACATTAATTATTGAAAATTTCAGTCCATTAATTAATCATAATTTTGAAATGAAAATCAACAAAGTGAAAAGTAACTAGTTATTTCCTGTTATAATTCTTGAACTCTCTTTACAGCAACCAAGGTTAGTGAAAGACTAGATGATGTCATTCTCTCCAACCAGATGAAGAAAGACATTCCTATGTTGTCCACAGGACAACAGACTTCCAGCATAGAGGCATACCATTCTGTCATAAATCATTTTGCACCAAAAATGATTGGGTTTTCATACCATGGGATGATATGTAGGTATGTAAGTGATACATGTATATTGATATGTATGTGTGTGTGTCAGAGAAGAAAGGATCCAATTATAAAGAGATTTCCAAATACCATGAAATTTAAGATTTGTGAGCTCCTTAGTTTTTAAGGGAATATAGACTTGGTATATTAGCCTTTTTGTGTTAAAATTCCTAGTATTACTTTTTCCACAATTAAGCTATGATCATCTAACTTTGTAGATTATTTACACTTATACTTTGTGCTAGATTCAATGCCTACAACTCGCATTTTTTACACAGCTCTTGGTAAAGATTCACGTTGGAAGTATAACTTGGCTTTGAATTTGGAGTATGTTAATGACATTTGATGTATACCATGACTTACCTATACTGCATGAAGTTTAATTTACACAGTAAATGCGATGCAATGGAACATATAATCAACTTATATCTTTTCCATTATATTTCACTACAGGTTGCAGTTAGCAGCCCTTCACTTTAATGAAAACCGCTCCAAATTACAAGCAGTCGATAAAGACGGTGTGTTGCGTTACCGCTTGGAATTTCCCAAATATAAAAAAGGAGAACATATCGTCAGGAAAGTCAAAGTTCATAGCACCTTTGGTAAGTTTTATGTATAGAATTTGAATTATTAGTATTAATACATTTGCTTCTCGTATATAAGTTTCAGTATATTATCTTAAGCTGCCTATCGTGACCTGCCAGACATTTAAGCGCACACTTAATCAACAGAATGTGTCATTTGAATGTTTTTAGGTAATTGTAACTTTTCTGTAAATGTAGAAATCGAATGTACAGTTAAAATATGAATCATGAAACTTGCATTTTTTCTTTCAGATTACGTGGAAAATCTTACAGAAGTTGTCATGAGCATGGCAGAAAGATCTTCACTAGCAAAGCAACGAATTCCTATTCCACCCACAGTTCCTCCACCGTTGTGTCATGACTTTCTTCACCCAGATATGTCGGATGCCATAGCAGGAATGCATTCAAGATTTTCTATGAACTTTTGAACTTAATTTTTGAAGTGAATACTTACCCTGCCGGTACAAACGTACCACTTTGATTTATGATGCTAATTTTTTTCTGAAATCCACATATCTATGTCGCTTACATTTGTTATTTGAATTTTTTGCCTGTTGAATTTTGTTGTAAAAAGAAAATATTACATAGAACAGCAAAAGAATACAAAAAATATTTATTACGATTTTAAATAAATATACAAAATATCACAGAGACTTTTGTCATTTATCCCAAGAATTTTCATGCTGCATGCTGGAAGCCAGTATATTCATCATCTTCAGCTGGGAAGTTGCTCCGTACTTTGCTGACAACACAGGATGGAATTAGAACCCTCACTTTCCTGCCCAAATAACCAAAGCACCACCTGACCAGTTGTCTGTAGGCAACATACCTACGTCGGCTGTAAAATAATGTAGGAATTTTAAATAACACCACAGCGCAAGAAATTCAATTTTACACGAATATATATCATTTACAAAATGAAATTTTATGCTGGGCAATTAAAATTTGTAAAAGCTTTCAAGTTGTTTTTTCCTGCAAAAAAATCAGATCTTTGAATTCCTTGTAGAGATTCTAAATCACAATTATTTAATGAAACTTATCTGACTTGAATTTTGTAAAAGTGTTTGTTTGGGACAGTAAAGACTTTGTAAACATTCCTGTAAACAAATACTTACTCTGGAGTGTCTTCCATTTCTTCCCCATACTGCTGTCTATATGCAAAGTATGCGGCCCTCAATACATGGACATTGAGACAGACTGGTTCAAAACCTGGATGGTCGATGACACAATTAACGTTTGGGACCTCTCTCCTGATGTCGTTAACTTGGTTGATTTCTCTGCAGCAAACAGATTCTGTCATCGTGGACATAGGATAGCAATTCCCACATGTACACCTTAATACAATAAAAATAACCATGGTCATATATTATGAATTTAACAGTGATTATCTGTTACTCAACTTACTGTCATATGTATTGTTCAACGACTATACGAGAATGAATTTTACTTGAAACTTCAGTCTATTTTTAACCTTTTTTCTTCATTCCAGTAATGATTATGATGCTTTAAAACCCTCCTGGAGATATAATCATGCATTTAAGAAAGATTATGTTACTGTCTAGACAAGTGTCATGTGTATTCAGAGTATCATTTGATCGAGCTCGAGAAGACCTATTGGTGCTATTGCACATGGTCTACAACCTATATTTGTTTATACATAATATCATAGATAATTTGATATCAAAACTGTTGACTCTATGGTCTAACTTCAGGTATAAAATAAGATACTACCATAAGCTATATGTTTACATTCTTACCAGTCGGTGTTACCAATGCGGTCAGCTTGGCTATCAACAGTTTCATCTTCGTTCTCGCTGTCTTCTACGTCGTCTTCATATGGTTCAAACTGGTACGGAAGAACCCCACAATGTGATGTCTCGTCAACTACATCGTTGTCTGAATCTTCGAAAGGCGATGATTCGCAAGACAAACGAAGAGCGCCATCAGTAGAGTACGAATCATTGTCGGAGTAGTCAGTACCGTCCATGTTGAATTTTGTGATTTTCCCTCGACGCGCTTCCACTTGTGACGTCACCAATACCCGGATGTAAATCAGGGTAATTTGATCGCTTGCTTGATTAACATCTCGAAGCAGGTGTGAATCGGCGCGTTTAGACGGATATATCTCGGAAACGGATGGTCGAATTTCGATGCGGTTTTCGGCATTTTTGTTCTTATACAACAGCAAATCCATTGAAAATCGAACCTATCAACATTCAGGTTGACCAACAAACGTTCACGTGGGAAGAGATGTGTAGCGTATGGATGTGGAAACACCACTTTAGACGGTGTTTCACTTCATTTTTTCCCATTAGACAGACCGGAAATATGCAAAGTTTGGACTGCATTTGTGCGGAGGAAAAGGGATTTGTGGGACGGGCCAACAAAACATTCAGTTTTGTGTTCGGAACATTTCGGTGAGGACTGCTACCCGATGCAGTACAGATTTCTTCAATCAATGGGACGTACACCACCGAAAAAGAAAACGCTAATAAAAGATGCTGTGCCAACGATTAACAAAGGCTGCACCAACGTAGAGGAAACGCCTGTCAAAAGACCACGGACTGCTTTCGCAAAAAGAGAGAACAGAAGGGTAATTATTACATAATACATGAAGATCTAGGGCCTATGTATATCATATAAGTTATAGTAGTATCTGAGTAGAAAAGGTAATGAGTAATGCAGCCTTCCTTAGTGGACAATACTCCTATTTAGCATTTAATAAACCTTTTCCCAGTAAATGTTTCAGTGTATGCGAGGTATCTTCAGTTTTAACTTAAATGTACGTATTAAACAGCTACACTGTGACTACATGTACATTATTTGTATGATAAATTTGATTTTTTTTTATAGATAGTCGAGCAATGTTTGAAAGAGAGTTCCACGGTATCCACAGACACTCAGGTGGAGGAAGATCCTGATGTTTCAGCCAGTGATGAGGTTATGGAATTGCCAGAGGAACATGTACAGACAAGAAATGACCATGATTATTTCTCCTGCAATTTCAAGGTACTAAAAATGATACTCATAAGGCCAAAAAAATTATATGCGAGTTTACTGTCACCATACCGACCCTAAACTTTTAATTCAGGTTTTCACACATGCACTGTAAAAGTCAAGGTTGTTGCTCTTATAAAAGTTATGTATAAAACCAGATTTACAGTTATTGCCCTTTATAGTTTTTCTTTGTCCGCACCATATTTACAACACTGTTTTACATATATGTAGGAACTCCAAACTTTATGTACAGAATGTTCCATATGTCACAGCAAACTACATGTTTCAAACAACATAAATAGTGAAATGGTCTCTGATCTTGTGTGTCAAACATCGCCATGGGCATCTGTTGGGCTCTTGTAAGGTTGGTCAAGGAACATACTTTTTTTCCCACCTTACATATACATAGGTTATGGAGGTTCAACTGTTAATGTACATCATAACTACCGTGTACAAGAAAAGTTTCTATTACAGGAAACACCATCAAAGACAAAAACCTGTGGCACGCAGCTCTCCCTGAAACCACCCAAGAGGAAAACGGTCAGGATACAAGTGGCCCCCAATGCAGTGGAGAAAGGTAAATTGTAACCTGCTTATGCATGTCAATAGGGTCTGTAAGTCTCGTCATGTGACCTGCAAGATTGTGACATTTTGAAAAGTCATAACTGTATGAAAAAATAGAGTATTACCAGTTGGTACAATACAGCTGTAAACTGTTTTAAGTACTTGTCCTAATTACAACATTTTAAAATTACTATTCCATTCATTCAATATTTGAATAAATCACAAGACATTTTTACTTGCATTAATGCATTGTGATTTTGTTTTATCTTATAGGATGTCAAACTCATGCTCCAAGACCAAAGGTGAGACATGCAGAAGTTCAATGTAATCTTCTAAAGCCAGTGGTGGAGAAAGATGAAGAAACCAACTTGGAAAGTGATAGTGAGTACGAAGATCATCTAGACCTTTTCAAGACCAACAGTAAAGATCTAGACGACTCCTATCATCCGGATTCTGGTCCAGACGACTCGGACACAGAGTTAGATATGGAAGAAAATGAGTATGTGTTGTAACATGTCTGACATTTTGCAGAGAAAAATAATTTATTTTGATACTTTCTGGCTTGTGTTTCGGGACTTTGATATGGCATGCTTTCTCAGTCATATCAATCCATTGTGTGCTAAAACATCATTGCATTGCCTTTTTGGATGGCACTTTGATCTAACGGTGTTGTCCCAAGATGGAATAGAACCCTAACCTCAGTCTTGCTTATATCATTTCTCTATAATAATATCATGTCATAGTGCCCTCATTCATATTATGGCAATTATGTATGTAGAATGTCATGAACATTTATGTATTGCAGAGATGTGCTACACAGTGGACAGAGCAGAGACAGACTCCTCATAATTGAAGAAAGCAAACTGCTTGAACTTTTTGATAAATGTAGACACTGTTTATCACCATGCCAAGGAGAAGTGACACGAATGATCGGTACCATGTGTTGTGTGCATCAAGAATGTGACATGTGTGGTAGGACCTTTAAATGGAGAAGCCAGTCAATGGTGGGATCCCTTCCAAGAGGAAATGTCCAGCTGTCTGCCAGCATTTTATTTTCTGGATCGTTGCCCTCAAAGACTCTAAGAATTTTTAACTTTATGGACATCCCGGTAATATGCCATGACACGTTTTTCAAGCATCAGCGACATTATTTACAGCCTACAATTCTAAGGATGTGGACAGAAAAACAAGTGCAATATTTTGCAGAAATGTGCGAAAGTGACAATGACATTTGTATAGGAGGAGATGGTCGATGCGATACCCCCGGACACTGTGCTAAGTTTTGCAGTTATTCACTGATGGATTTGGACAGAGGGACAGTCGTAGATATACAGTTAGTTCAGGTTGGTATTTCTAATCGTAAAAATTTAAAAAAAAAAAAAAAAAAAAAAAATCCACTCATTATATATTCCACAATTTCTGAGACCAGGCTTAACCACTGGACGACTGTGGCCCCCGTTAATTTTATGTAAATTTATATGTAGAAACTGCTGATAGAAAATGTGGTCATGAATACATACAGAAACAATTTCAATATATATATATATATATATATCTACAATCTACATGTACTTTCCAGAACATGAGTTATGTTAATTTTGGTACATTGTGTAATGTTAAGATTTTGATCAATTTCAGAGCAATGAAGTCAAACATAGTGTCAACATGGAAAAGGAAGGGTTAATACGGAGCGTGGACAATCTAAAACGCCATGGGATCAACATAGATACCCTAGTCACCGACCGACATGTCCAGATCAGAAAGTGGGTGAGGGAGAACATGACAGAGACCAATCACTGCGTTGATGTATGGCATGTTGCAAAAGGTATTGCATTTTCTTTAAGTGTTTGTGTTTAGCATAAACAAAACAAGAAGCCCAATCAGTATTAACAGTCACCGTAGTAAATAGTTTGATTTCAGTTTGTTTTGTTTTGCTAAGGGCTTTACTTCAGATACTT